ACGAGGTGAAACTCTCTACTAAAATTACACAAATTAGCCAGGTATGGTGGCATGCACCTATAATCCCAGCTACTCAGGAGGTTGAGACAGGAGAATCACTTGAACCCAGGAGGCAGAGGTTGCAGTGAGCTGAGATTGTGCCACTGCACTCCAACCTGGGCAACAGAGCCAGACTCCATTAAAAGGAGAAAGAAAAAAAGAAAAAGGAAAAAAAAAATGCCTGCAGTCAAAGCTCTCATAACACGGAAAACAAAACAACACAAACCTCTCCTTACAGAAAACATTTGCCTTTGATTGCATCAAAATTACAGCAGGATTTTGTGCAGATAACTCTTTAGCTAGCTCTAAAATTCATACAGAAAGGGGAATAAATTAGAATAGCCAAAGAAATTCTGAAGAGGAAGAATAAACAGAGAGGAATCACATCTGTTAACTTTTAACAGCTCTGTTGAGATAAAATTCACATACCATACAGTGCATCCATTTAAAGTGTACAATTCAGGCCAGGCACGGTGGCTCATGCTTGTAATCCCAGCACTTTGGGAGGCCAAGGCAGGCGGATCATCTGAGGTCAGGAGTTCGTGACCAGCCTGACCAACATGGAGAAACACTCTACTAACAAGACAAAATTAGCCGGGAGTGGTGGCGAATGCCTGTGATCCCACCTACTTGGGAGGCTAAGGCACGAGGATCGCTTGAACCAGGGAGGCAGAGATTGCTGTGAGCCAAGACAGCACTGTTACACTCCAGCCTGGGTGCCAGAGCAAGACTCTGTCTCTATTTAAAAAAAAAAAAAAAAAGCCAGGCATAGTGTGTGCCTATAGTCCCAGTTTCCTGGAAGGCTGAGGTGGGAGCATCAGTTGAACTAAGCAGTTTGAGACTGCAGTGAGCTAGGATCTCACCCTAACTCCAGTCTGGGTGACAGGCCAAGACCCCATCTCTAATAAGTGGGTGGATCACTTGAGGTCAAGAGTTCAACACCAGGCTGGCCAACATGGCAAAACCCTGTTTCCACTAAAAATACAAAAAAAATAGCCAGGCGTGGTGGCATCACAACTGTGGTCCCAGCTATTCAGAAGGCTGAGGCAGTAGAATTCTTTGAACCCGGGAGGCGGAGGTTCCAGTGAGCTGAGATTGTGCCACTGCACTCCAGCCTGAGTGACAGAGCAAGACCCTGTCTTTTTTTTTTTTTGAGACGGAGTTTCACTCATGTTACCCAGGCTGGAGTGCAATGGCGTGATCTCGGCTCACCGCAACCTCCGCCCCCTGGGTTCAGGCAATTCTCCTGCCTCAGCTTCCTTAGTAGCTGGGATTACAGGCACGCACCACAATGCCCAGCTAATTTTTTGTATTTTTAGTAGAGACGGGGTTTCACCATGTTGACCAGGATGGTCTGGATCTCTTGACCTCGTGATCCACCCGCCTCGGCCTCCCAAAGTGCTGGGATTACAGGCTTGAGCCACCGCGCCCGGCGACCCTGTCTTTAAAAAAAAATTAATTAATTAATTAAAAAAATATTTTGGATAACGTCCCTATCAGATATATGATTTGCAACTATTTTCTCTCATTCTGTGGGACATTATTCAATTTTAAGACATCATAGTCAAAGATCAAGTCTTTTTTTTTTTTTTTGAGATGGAGTTTCACTCATGTTACCCAGGCTGGAGTGCAATGGCATGATCTCAGCTCACCGCAACCTCCGCCTCCTGGGTTCAAGCAATTCTCCTGCCTCAGCCTCCTGAGTAGCTGGGATTATAGGCACGCGCCACCAGGCCCAGCTGATTTTTTGTATTTTTAGTAGAGACAGGGTTTCACCATGTTGACCAGGATGGTCTCGATCTCTTGACCTCGTGATCCACCCGCCTCGGCCTCCCAAAGTGCTGGGATTACAGGCTTGAGCCACCGCGCCCGGCCTGAAGATCAAGTCTTTTGCGACAGTTTATAACTACAGCCACCTAATGCCCATAAGGTGCTCTGTGGTATCCCCTTGGACAAAACTCTTGTCGGTAAGGATGTCTTCAGAGACCCTGCTTCTAAACGCTGGGCAGAAGCCAAGGTCAAGCTTGAAGAGCTATACAAGACGGGCAAGAAGAAGTGGTTCTTCCAGAAGCGGCGGTTTTAGATGCTTTGCTTTGGTCATTAAAAATTAAAAAGAAGCCGGGCGCGGTGGCTCAAGCCTGTAATCCCAGCACTTTGGGAGGCCGAGGCGGGTGGATCACGAGGTCAAGAGATCGAGACCATCCTGGTCAACACGGTGAAACCCCGTCTCTACTAAAAATACAAAAAATCAGCTGGGCATGGTGGTGCGTGCCTGTAATCCCAGGTACTCAGGAGGCTGAGGCAGGAGAATTGCCTGAACCCAGGAGGCGGAGGTTGCGGTGAGCCGAGATCGCGCCATTGCACTCCAGCCTGGGTAACAAGAGTGAAACTCCGTCTCAAAAAAAAAAAAAAAAAAAAAATTAAAAAGAGGCTGGGTGCTCACATCTGTAATCCCAGCACTTTGGGAGGCTGAGGTGGGCGGATCACCAGGTCAGACGTCAGAGACCAGCCTGGCCAACATGGTGAAACTCCATCTCTACTAAAAATACAAAAGAATTAGCTGGGCCGGGCGCGGTGGCTCAAACCTGTAATCCCAGCACTTTGGGAGGCCGAGGCGGGTGGATCACTAGGTCAAGAGATCGAGACCATCCTGGTCAACATGGTGAAACCCTGTCTCTACTAAAAATACAAAAAAATTAGCTGGGCATGGTGGCATGTGCCTGTAATCCCAGCGACTCAGGAGGCTGGGGCAGGAGAATTGCCTGAACCCGGGAGGCGGAGGTTGCGGTGAGCCGAGATCGCGCCATTGCACTCCAGCCTGGGTAACAAGAGCGAAACTCCGTCTCAAAAAAAAAAAAAAAAAAGAATTAGCTGGGCATGGTGGCGCGTGCCTGTAATCCCAGCTACTCAGGAGGCTGAGGCAGAAGAATCTCTTGAAACCGGGAGACAGAGGTTGCGGTCAACCGAGATCATGCCACTGCACTCCAGCCTGGGCAACAGAGTGAGACTCCAGGTCAAAATAAATAAATAAAAAGAGGAAAAAGAAACATCATAGAGCTATACTAATCAAGACAGTGTGGTTGTGGTAAAGATACACACATAGATCAATGAAACGGAATAGGGTCTGGAAATTGACCCACAAACCTATGCCTCATTCTTTATTTTTTTTTTTTTTTTTTTGGATGGGGTTTTTTTCATTTTACCCAGGGTGGAGTGCAATGGCGCGATCTTGGCTCACCACAACCTCCACCTCCTGGGTTCAAGCAATTCTCCTGCCTCAGCCTCCTGAGTAGCTGGGATTACAGGCACAGCAGGCAATGTAATCCCAGCTACTCAGGAGGCTGAGGTGGAAGAATGGCTTGAAACAGGGAGTCAGAGGTTTCAGTGAGCTGAGACTGTTCCATTGCACTCCAGTCTGAGCAGCAAAGCAAGATTTCATCTCAAAAGAAAAAAAAAATTAAAGGGAATATTTGCCTCATTACAATAATTAATATGGAAAGCAATATTGCACTCCCTATTAGCACACGTGATATTAGACGCATTCGACCTTCTCCCCGACCTGCTGCCTCCTCCTGCTGGTCAGGGGACAGACTCCGTACATCTCCCCTCAGGGCCAGGTGGACCGAACTCTTGCTTTCTTGGAGGAAACCCAGAAATCACAGAGACAGAGGGCAAGGGGATGGACTGCCATGTGGCTGCACAGGGCTGCTTCAGGACAACGTTAGCAGACCGCAGGCACGTTCCCAAGAGGGTGCATGCTGAGCCCTGGTCCTCTGGTCTCCCCCAAGTGCTGATTCTGAAATGGATAAGGACGGTGCAGAACTGGACTGCATGCAAATGCAGGAGTGACCTCCTGGGAGGGTGGGGCCCCTATCTCTCCTAGAGTCTGGTCAGACTCTGCCCAACACCCCCTCTAAGGCCACAGGAGAGGAGCAGGAGTGATAGCCCCCAAACCCCAGTCCCATGGAGCCCTGAGGGCCCCTTTGTCACTCCATCTGATAAGAAACCCCACCCCTGCAGCCCCCTCCCCTCACCTGACCAATGGCCACAGCCTGGTTGGGCCCAGCTCCCTGTACATAAGGGGACCCGGGGGCTGAGCACCACCAAGGCCAGTCCTGAGCAG